TCTCATCGTAAATTAAAATCATATATAAAATATACTAACTAATATTAAAGTTATAATAATAAATGTAACAAATTAAAAGTTATAATAATAAATGTAACAAATTAAAATACCATATGGGTGGTGTTTGATTGGTTTGAGTTTTGGTTCCAAAGATCAAAAGTGTCTGGAGGTCATAAGCTCAAATGGACAAAAATCCTCTTGTAACTCCGGGCTACCTGCAAAACAGGTGGTCATCTTGGAATTAAAATCGACTCGTATAACGGGTTGGATATCCAGGTTAATAAAAAAAAGCTTAATGAATTGAATACACATTAAAAATAATAAATTTACACCCATTTAGTCATACCATCCAAACATAATACATCAAATATAATAGAATGAGAAACGTTTCTTCTTACTAAATCTTAATTTATTCGGTTAAGACTAGCAGTGCTTATGGGTTAGGTTGATATAGTTGAAAAGACATTTGAACAACTCAACCAAAATGCTTGTAGTTGAAAAATCTTAATCCAACACAAACCAAAGTGCAACCCAACCTAACCCAAACCGTACGGGTTGGTCGGGTTGGTTGAGTTGATACTTTGGTACATTAAAATATTCTTCCAACCTTGAATATATTATTTATCTGCTCATAATTTATTTTTTATCATCAACCATTTGATACAACTTATCCATATTTTTTTACGTATATCGCATTCAATTAATTTTCTCAATTTATATATATATATATATATATATATATATATATGCTCACAGTTACTGAACATTAATGCGAATGAGTTATATAAAGATGTGAATAGATTGAAAATATGTGCATATGAAGAGCGTACGTGATAATGTAATTGTCTAATGTATATATTAATAGAAATTCAATAATCATATTAAATCCAATAAATAAAACGATATCAGGTTCATCGGGTTAGGTTGAGTTCAAACAATAGTAACTCAATATCAACCAAATACCTACGGTTTGAAAATTTTACAACTCAATTAAACGTCGAGTTTCTTCGAGCTGAGTTATTTTGCGTTAGGTTGGATTAATCGGGTATTTAAGCACCCGTAGTTAAGACCTCCCTTTATTATCATTTATTTCCTTGTCCACAATACGTTCCATGCCTTTTTCCCTAAGGCGCTCCATTAAGTCATCAAAGTACTCATAGATGGCATGACATACACCCATAAAACCATCGTTGTGGGTGCTTTTATTTATTTTTTAATTTTTACAATAAATTGTTAATTTAGGGATACACTAAGGTGCCGTTTACTTAAATACTTATCTGATAAGTACTTATCGGAAAAACTTAACATTATCGCTTATTTATCGGATAAGATTTTATTCACTAAAACGCATCGTATACAACAATTTATCCCGGTAAGCGCTAACCATGGTAAGAGTCTTCGTCATCACTTACCGGATAAGACTCTCGATTCTTGTTTTCGCTCTTACCGGGTAAGATTTTTAGTCCTTGTCATATTCATCCGGTAAAGTAAAATTGACTTGGTAAGCTCTTACCCAGGCAAGCGTTTGGTAAACGGCACCTAAATGCACCTCTATCTATTAAAACGTTTATCTCCAATAGCGTTATTTTAGAATTTGAAGATTTGGGAATTTTTTGCTTCAACAGTTATGTTAAACTCTCTCTAAAATAGAGAAAAATATGGGAGATAATGGAGAAATCTTTAAATTTAGAAGAAGAAAAAAATATAGCATAATCGGGCAAAGTCGCGTGAATCACATGTGATTTTTTACGTGATGTTATTTCATAATCAACCGGTTACCCAAATATTTAAATGTTTAAAACTTTACATCTTAAGTATCAAAATATAAATTCTAAAAATACGTTATTTAAAATAAAATATATTATTTTTTCATGCAATTCACCTTTTTATTTTAGTTAATGAGATTAAAAAAGAGAAGCGAAAAATGGTGCCCAAAATCATAATTGATGAGGAGGTACACGACAACAGAAGCAAAAGCTGTGGCACATGTGAGTGTCTCCAAACACACATTGTGTTTTATATGTTGTGTTATATATTGACAATAATCGAAACAGTAGGTTTGGATTATTTAAATATTCTTAATTTATTCACCTTTTAATAGTTTCATTAAAATACAGTTTTTGAAACGTTAAGAGATGAATCTTGTTTAGCAAAAAAAGTTTGTCTTTTAATGGATCTAAAACTTTCTGAATGATTTTGTATCTTGAACCTCCTTTATCCATTCAACGCCCTAATTTCGTCACAATTAATTATCAAACAATTATATTTCATTTTGCACTATATCATGATGGTACACCCAAATTTGATAGTCCATCGAAAACATTAATTACATTCGCTATCGTGGTTTGCGTTTTATTACAGATTTGGTTCTTTGGGCCAGCAATCTATAAAGTGAGATAAAGGAAGCCAAGATATCTTACCTTAACAATTAGATGATGACACGTGTCTCCCCTTTCCTTCCTCATTTCCTTCGGCCACCTAACACAACCTATCACCGTTCTTTTTTTTTTATGACACTCAGTTAAAAGGAGAAAAACGTGATTACTGAACGGAAAAGAAATAAGGAAACTTGTACTTCTCCATGGTTTTGGTCTCGATGGTTGATGGGTCAACATAGAAATCGGTAATTCTATCGTCTCTTGTTTGGTAAGCATTGATGAACTGAAAAACAAGCCTAGGAAGAAGATTAGAGCAACAACGTCGTCTCTCTCTCCCCGCTCTTATATCTATCTCTATCTCTTTGGATCGACTATTATAAGCAGAGACAGACCCAGAACTTTAATTTTGGACGATCCTCTTAAAAAACCAGAAAGATATTGTATCCATGGAAAATCTATAAAACAACAAGTGTGTGTAATTGCATTACAACAGTATAACACTGACTTTTACAAAATCGAAAATGATCTCCCTGAATTTTCATTACAAAAGTGGTACACAAAATACCAAGGGAAGTTATTCTTATTCAAGCAAGTTTCAATAATACCATTATGACTGTTACAGATGTACAGATCAATCGTTGCTCCCCAGTCACTTAGCTACGAACTTCAGGGTAAAAAAGCCAAAATAAGTSATTTTAGCCCTTATAAAAAGAAAACTTATGGACCGTGCGAGTTATCTGTTTCGATCTCCATTTTTCAACATGGGAATACCGTAACCCTGGGAACCTGGGGCCTGGCTATCCTTCGTTTGCGGTCGACATTCCGGCTTTGGTTGTTGGTTGGGCCGGTTTAAGCTGATTTCTACACGATTCTTTTAAAACTATCATTATTAGTTTAGCTCTGGCGAATCAACAATTGTTTTTCTCTTTGTTAATTACTTGTACATAATCGTTGTAAAAAATATAACAGAATAAAAACTATGAATATCCGAACATTTTGCAAACCGCAAACACCAACAAACTAATTACAAAAGCCTTCAAAGAAGCATTTAACAATTTAGGACGGTGTTATGTCCGATTAAGGTCATTTTTTATACAAAATAGCAGTTTAGTCGAATGCGAAAGCTTTTTTCGTAAGTTTGAGGGTAGGTCTCGGCCAACCCTAGGCCTACGTTGGCGCTGCCAATGCTTATAAGAGGTGTTTTTTTTGTCGTAAACTGGGTTGTTGTCAGTGAGGGAGCCGAAACGGTAGAGGTGTTGTCATTGTCTCTCTCCCTCTGTACTTATAATTAGGGATGTTCAAAAACTCGATCAACCCAACTCAACCCAACGTCAAATAACTCAACCCGAAGCAACCCGATGTCTAATCGAGTTTTAAAATTTTCAAACCGTAAGTATTGGGTTGATATTGAGTAACTATTATTTGAACTCAACTTAACCTGATGAACCTGATATCCTTTTATTTCTTGGATTTAATATGATTGTTGAATTTATATTAATATATACTTTAGACAATTACACTGTCACGTACGCTCTTCATATATACATATTTTCAATCTATTTTTCATCTCTATATAATTCATTCGTGTATATGTTCAGTAACTGTGAAACATATATATGTAAATTGAGAAAATTAATTGAATGTGATATATGTAATAAGTATGAATGAGTTGTATCCGATGGTTGATGATGAATAAGAAATTATGAGTAAAGAAATAACATATTCAAGTTTAGAAGAATATTTTAATATACCAAAGTATCGACCCGACTAACCCGATCAACCCATACGCTTTGGGTTGGGTTAGGTTGCATTTTGGTTTGGGTTGGGTTGGGTTAAGATTTTCAAACCGTAAGCATTGAGTTGAGTTGTTCAAATGTTTTCAACTCGATCAACTCAACCCATGAACAACCCTACTTATAATATTATATTAATATTTTATTATTTAAAAAAAATGAGAGATAAACGTAGAAAATAAATCAAAGTACTCATTGTTTAACAGAATCTTTTTAACGATTGAAATTTAACGAGATTAGTTCTAATGATTCAAACTGGGAAAGTTTGCAAACGACGATAACGACGATAATGAAAACTGTAATTTTTAACAAATCATATGGACAAAAATGTAATTTAATCTTGTATTTAATTACAAATTTGACATGTGATTGAATTATAAATTTGATTTTTTAGAGTAAAATACGTTTTTCGTCCCTATGGTTTGTTAAAAATTGCAATTTTCGTTCTTGTGGTTTGGAATTGCAGTTTTTATCTCTATGATTTGTAATTTGTTGTTATTTTTATTCTTATAATTTACTGTTGCTTCAGAACTTGTGGTTATAATTTGTATTTGGTCCCTTATACTTAATGTTAGGAAACTAGAAATTAGATTAGGGACCAAAATAATAATAAGTTATAAAATATAGAGACGAAAATCACAATATCTAAACAACAGGAACAAAAGTTGAAATTATTTACAAACTACAGGGACCACAATTGTAATATACTCTTTTTTTTAATTACAAACCCCTCTTTATGGCATTAATCGTAATATATCAAAAAACGGGACCCCTTTTCGCAAACTAAAACTTATATAAAGCGACGTCGTATAGTACCATTTTCACAACTCAAACATACGACTTCCCATGCATTCGTCACCACAAACCATGTGCTTCACGTTTCTTTTCCTCATCGTCACCGTCGCAACTGCCGCCGCATCTCCGGCGACTCCGACAAACATCATCCACTTACTCATGCCACATTCCGGCTCCGGCGGCCACAAACACTCCTCCCTCAACTGCCTGAGCTGGCGGCTCGCCGTCGAAACTAACAACTTCCGGGGGCAACTTGTTCCTGAAGAATGTGAAGAATATGTCGGCCATTACATGTACGGATCACAATACCGGAAAGATTGTGAGTTCGTCGCCGACGAAGCCTACAAATACGCCGAAGGTCTTAATCTCACCGGCGACGGGAAGGACGTTTGGGTTTTCGATATTGACGAAACCACACTTTCTAATCTCCCGTATTACGCTCGCGATACCGTTGCTTTCGGGTATAAAATTATTCGAAATCGTCGATTTCTATATTCGTAGGGACGGAACCAAAAAAAATTTCATACAGCCGACACTGTATAAAACAATACGGTTGCATATTTCACGAAACTAAAAAAGTTTACGTTACAAAGGAGGGATCTACCGGTGGCACAAGCCACGGTTTCGTTTCTCCGTTGTTGTGTAAAAAATATAGGGTTTGTGAAAAGTCATTACAACAAAATTGGTTTTATAAGACGTTTAGATTGTCTAAACGTACTGATAAAATACTTGATAAAACTTAGGTTTATAGGACTAAATTATAAAACGTCATATCCAAAAGTGTTATGATAGTTTTATAAGATGTTTTTAGGCGTTTTAACAAGTTTTTTATCACGTTTTTAAAATAAAGTATTCTATTAGTTATTTTATAAGACACTTTTGAGATTTGTTCTATAAACTCATCTTTTTATAAGACTTTTGGATAACGATTTATTTTTAAGCATCCTAAAAATTTGTTAAAACGTCATATAAACCTATTGTAATCTTTTTAGTATGACGTTTTTGGTTTGGTCATATAAACTTAAGTCGTATAAGATACTTTTTTAGGACGTTTCAACATTGTAGACGTCCTATAAAATCAATTTTGTTATAGTGAGTGTCACTATATCAATTTGTTGCGTGTGACCATGTATATTTTGAAACTACACTGAGAACACAAGTTTCCTTTGTTAGAGTTGGTTTGTTAGACTTTTCTTCCCCAGACCCGATTCAAAATCATATTAGTGTTATTTTATTAGTTTTTAGTTTTTAATTTTAGATTTTAGATTTATTATTTTTTTAAAAGAACTGCAACAAAAGACTTGAACACAAGGTCTCATATATGAAAAATAATGAACTAACCAACAAACCAATGATAATTTTGTAAAAAATATCATTATATTTGTTTCTTATAGTCAAATAGTGTCGCCGCTTAAAAAAAATTCGGGTCCGTCCCTGTCGAGATCGAGGTCTATTAGTTCAATTTCTTATGGTTTTTAATGGATTTTTCAGGGCGTTACCGTACAATGCGACGGCGTTTGACGAGTGGGTGGCGGAAGCATCGGCACCGGCGATCCCATCGTCTCTGATACTGTATAAGAAGCTTATAAAATTAGGGTTTAAGATCGTGTTTCTCACCGGAACAAACGATGCTTTCAGTGAACAACGTACCCAAAACATGAAGGCAATTGGTTACACGACATGGGAGAAAATTATTTATAAGTAAGTAATTAATTCATTTTATCAAATAAAATTTTCGATCATTAAAATGGATTGTTGCTAACAGACGTTTACCAAACGTTTACCGACAATAATCTCCGTCATCGCTTACTTAATCGGGTAACATCTCGGTCATCAAAAAAGACTCTTAGTAGGAGCATCCCAACAGCTATGTTCTAAAATAGATTATTAAAAGTTAAAATCTCTAAAAAGAATTGCATTCAACTCCAACAGCTACCGAAGCAAAAATATAACATAAATCTCCAAAATCTCTATTTTAGCATAGTTGTTGAAGACGCTCTAAGCGTCTATATATCCTCTGGTAAGCACTTACCAGGCGAAACTCTTAATCCTTATTTTCTCTCTTACTTGGTAAGATTCAGGGTCCTTGCTATGCTCACCTGAAAAGGTAAGTGACTCGGTAAGCACTTTATTTTAAGATTTAAAAGGGTTTTACATATTTTAACAGTATTGAATACGTACAGGCAACCTAATGATGGGAGCGGTATAGTGTAMAAAGAAGCCAAAAGGAAAGCGTTGGAAGAGAGTGGATACAGAATTCGAGGTAATATGGGAGATCAATGGAGCGACTTGCTTGGAAGCAACCCCGGTGATCGTACCTTCAAAGTGCCGGATCCAATGTACTATATCGGTTAATTTTAGAAGCACTGGTCATCTTTTTACCTGTTAGGCTAAACCAGTGAGAAACCATGTGGGTTAGTTGGTGGTTCGAGTTTTCCGGTATGTGAAAATAAGGCTAGTCGAAAGTCAAGAAGTTGGTGTTCAATGATTATCGGATTAAAAGTTCAATCCAGTATTAACTTGAACTGGGTTTTATAATAAGATCGGTTTTATAAATGTTGATATGTATTTTTATGAACTGTTTTGTAAAAGAAATTAGGGATAAAGAATAAAAACAAAATCCCGTATCAGACAGAGAGAAAGAAGGGGAGAAGGGAAAGTTTCGTTAGGAACTCGAGAACCATCCACAATACGCCATATGTTCTTTTTAGGGATGAATTATTTATCATCAATAACACATTCATAATGAATATGAAAGTGTTATTCATCATGAATTACACATTCATGATGAATAACAAGTCCATATTTATTTTGTCACGTATTGCGTTGTGGGGGTACCCGAATTCATAATCAATTTTAGGTTTCTACTATCTATTACAATACAATTTATAACACAATCTCTGACACAATTTTTTAAGTGTCATGTCCGCTTTAGAAATTACTAGTGTTCCAACCGCGCGTTGCGCGGTAGTCATAATATCATCTTCAAAAGAAATGTTATAGATTAAAAATTTGAAGTCCACTTCTAAAGAGAAGATGTGTGTGGCAACTAATCATTACCATCAAAAGTTTTTAAGAGAAGTTGACAACAATTTTAGAACCATATGCTAATTTAAGTTATCTAACTATGCTCGAGAATGGTGTTACAAAGTATTCTACAAATGTTTGACTAATTTAGTAGTTTGTTTAATTAGAAGTCACAGTTCTAACTGAAATCTCATATAAGGTGACAAAATCACGATGTTAATTTTGTAACAAATTTAATTGAAATCTCATTTGAAGTTATGAAAAAGAAACGTTTTATAATATTTCAAGTGAACATTAGAGTAGTGTGTAAGTTATAGCAACAGTTATAGATTTCAAAGCGCATTGTACTGGCCGTAGGGGACTCAAGCCTTCGTCGATTGAGAGGAGATCTCTTTTAGTCCGGTCTTCTTTTCTCTTTTGAGTCAGGTTCTTAGTCTTGGGGGTCCCCAAAACAGAGTGAGAACTAGCCCTTTGAGGAGCTCTCTAAGTTGGATACTATATTCCGCCTACACAACTACCTTGCTAAGACAACCCTATGAGGCAAACCTCATTATTACACACAAAGGCATCCAATCCACTTTTCATATACATCTCATTTTGTTCAAATCTTTCAACATTTCACCAATGTGGGATATATCTCAAACTCAACCACAATTCACCAACACCTCAATACTCTTGTTTCTTTCTTTTATATATATATATATATATATATATATATATATATATATATATATATAGATTCTCAACTACAACGACTTATTATCAAATTTGTGAAGTGATACCTCATCATAAAAAAATGAATTTAATCAAATAATTACAAAAATACAATTAAATATCCTTTACTATAATTTGATACCAGTAATTTATTAATTAAATAATTAGGTGACGATAACAACGAAACTACAATTAAATATTCTTATTTTATACCAAAAACCAATTTTCTATTAAAAAATCATATTCACCGGTCACCACCACCACCACAATATATTAAGAAATCCTATGTGGCGATAAGAAATCTATTAGAAATCTCTCTCTATATATATATATATATATACTAGGTTCGATTCCGTGTATTACACGGAGTAATATAAAAAAATCATGTCAGAAAACTTATCTTACAGATATGAATGATTATTGAAAGTATGATGCTACTTCAGACTTTTACTCTCGAAATAACTTTGAAGAATCACTATGAAGATTGACTCTTCAGACTTGAATTTAAAAATGAAACTATATTAATAATTAGTTAAAATAAAGTTAACACTAGAACAAAATTGAATTTAGAAATGAAACTATATAGTAGTGAATTGAATTTAAACTTAGAAGAGCGTCTGTGTCAAAACTTGAGACGAAATTTAAAGACCTTGAGTTCAAAGTTATTCAAGTACCCAATATCTTTGAAAAAAGACTCCATGGTAAAGCTTGCATCAGAAAGAGCAAGACCAACCAGAGCTTCTCTAATTTTTTAAGGATCAGAGCTCCTCTGGACTTACCAACCAAAGGGCCTGATTCGTCTATCCAAAACCTCTGGGTCAAGAACTTTTTTTCAATTGATTGTCGATGTCTTATATTTTCAAATATTTCAAAACACAACTTTTTTTAAGCAAATACATCTTTTAAATCGAAAAAACTTTTATTAAGGGTTCGTTTATCAAACACTTACCCGGGTAAGTGTTTACCAAGTAACTTTACCTTACCCAATGAATATGACAATGATCAAGAATCTTACCTAGTAAGAGGGAAGACAAGGACTCAGAGCTTACCCTGTAAGTGCGGGCAATGACTCTTACCATGGTAACTGCTTACCATGTAAATTGTTGCATATGATACCTTATTAGTAGACTAAAATCTTACCCCATAAATAAGTGATAGTGTTGAATTTTTCAATACACACTTACCCAAATAAACATTTGGTTAACGGCCTTTTATAAAATTCAATTAAACAAATATATGAAATCAAGTGGGAAGGTTTGATCCGCCCCTGGTTATATGGAAATACAACTAATATTATAATAATTTGGGAATTTCACCAAAATAATCAAAAAAATATATAATATATTAACAAAATAGTCTTTTTTTCAAGTTCTACCAAAATAACCACACGGATCGTCCCCGCAGACATGTTTGACCATAGGGGGCAATCAAACCCTCTTTAACCAAAAAAGTACAAAAAAATATTGTTTTTAATTAATTTTAAGACCCAGATGTATCTAATTTATGAGACAAATGATCATTTTATTAATATATCAGATATATTTTAATCATTTTGACTAAACAAACCCTAATAATTTCAATGGATAACGTAACTATAACGCATGATTTTAAAGATCTCAAATGACGTCGTTTCACCCATACCAAACTTCATTTGATAAATAAAAGCATACAATAATTTTAAACTCATTTTATGCTAAAATAATAAAAAATTGAAACTGAGAATAAGAAAAAAAGAAAAAAAAAAGTGTGACCGCCAATATGGTGAAGAGAGATGGTATTTGTCGGTGTATTAAGGATGCGTTTGGTGTTCAAACATGATAAGAATAGAATAGTTGTTCAGTATTTTGATAAGACGGAACTGGACAGAGCAAAACAAGTAAAATGATCAATTTACAACTAATGCATTGTTTATATATTTTGATTAATTTATGTAATTTATTAAATTATAATAAAATAATTGTTTTTATAACAATATATAACATTAGAAAGTTTTTGTCAAAAAAATTAAAATGACACCAAAATAAAAAGTTTATATAGTTTCCAATTTTTAATTTATCCATTTTCTACATTATTTTTATTATTATTAATATATAATAAATTATATAAATTAAAACAAATATAGAAATTGTATAAAAACAATATTTTGAGGACGGGTCCGTTCTACTTTGTTTTTGTTTGTTCCACATAAAAGTTCTGTCAAATATAAAACAGAGATTCATGTTCTCTTCTGTCATGTCTACTGTATCAAACACACCTTAATTGTATTGATATGAGGGATTAAACGTACGAAAAATCAACTTGCTTTTGTAAAGTTGTTTATATAACACTGTATTTCCCAATATATTTTATTTGAACCAAATTTTGATTATCGACAATTCCAACTGGTTGTACATGGAACCCTCTCCTGGACACCATATGTGAGGAGACATTTTATGAGGTGACTTTTCGGTCATGGCAAGCGGATGGATTCAAACCTAAATCTGTCGTGCATTGGGTAAAGTCACATTGACCCTTTACCAACTGAGCTATACGCATGAGTACTCAAACTCCAATTAATTTTTATTATAGTATTGTACTTTAAAATGTTACTTATTATAACAATAAATAACATATTACCTTTTAGAACGGTTATCCAATGATTATGTTTCTTTCTCATACTAACTTATAAATAAGATGTGTATATATATATATATCTATACTATATTATAAAGCATTTGGCTAAAACTCTTAAAAACTCTTAAACTCTTAAAACTCTTAAACTCTTAAAAACTCTTAAA